GTCAGGAGAGGTCTGCTGTGCTATGTGGGTATCTCCCTGGCTGGGGATCAAACTCGTGCTGCAGTGGCTGCAAATGTCTTCATAGGTTGTGTCTTAACCCCTTACGCCACCAGGGAGGCCCCTTAAAGTTTGCTTTTTTGAGGCCATGAATTCTAAATACTTTTTGAGTGCTAAAAATGATAGCCACATTTCTCTTCTAGTATGTAACTTGGTGACTGAGGCATATTTAAATTTGAGAACCCACATACATCAACATTCCTATCTGTTGTGAATGTTGTTTGAGGATTCAATATAAGCCTGTTTCTTTCAGATCAATAATTGCCTCTTAGGGTGATAACAAGGGATTTATAAAATATATAGCACTGCAGTTTGTCTTTGGTACCTAAGTTCAAACTGGATAGATTTAGGGTGAGTAGAATTTTTCTTAAGTTGATAAATTTGATTTGGTGTGTTCACAGTAATGTGTAAATTAGATTATTTTCACCCATTTCTTAACTTTGTTCTGAGTTTCAAGATGTTAATAAGTTTATTGTGAATTGGCACCTCATGAACGCTTAAGCTTTTATCACATTGGGTTTATATTGGTTGTGTTCCTTTAATGATTCACCCTGAAACAATGATATTAATTAGGTTGATGCCAACCTAGAAGTAATTTCCATGCGCTGCCTTAGAAAAAAATCGAGTGTTCTGATATAGCAGTAGAAATGCTGGCCCGTTAGGATACCTGGGGGTTATCGCCCACTAACTAATTTTGTGACATTGGGTAGGTTACTTTAACCTCGTGGATCTCATTTTTGTATTCTGCAAGGTGGAAATTTTAGACTTCATAGATTCAAGGACCACTCAGTACTAACATACTAAAACTGATTCTAAAATTGTTTGTAATGGCTAGTACAAAGCAGAAGTAATCAACTTGCTTTTATTCCTTAAGTACTTTATTTCCCATAGATTATTAATACAGTTTAAAGAAATTGCACATATTAAAACTATTTTTAAGTGGCATAACTGAACTAAAATGTGGTGCGTGTTTTCTTTCAAAAGAAATGACTGTTTTCCTGATTCTGTGCATTGCTAAAGAATTAGGGAAAAAGGGCCTCCCCTGGTGGCCCAGCGGTTGAGCACTGGTCTGCAAAGCTGCCCACAGCCTCTGCGGCACCAGTTCGATCCCTGGCCGCTGGCGAGGGTCCCACATGGTGCGACAGACCTCTCCTGTCATGCCCACTGCTCCCCTCAGCAGTGTATTTCGTCAGTCTACCTGTTCTGTTCCCCACTCTGGCTCTTGTGAGTTCTCTCACCCTCCGGCGCTTCTGACTGTACCCAGTGCTTGTATAAATAAATAAATAAATCTTTAAAAAAAACAAAAAAGAATTAGGGGAAAAAAGCATGAAGAAAAAAAAATCACCCTCAGATTTCCTATGTATTTTATATGTATATAAAATACATAATACACTTACATAACATATTTATGTATATAGTAATGTGTGTATATGCATGTATGTGTTATATCCATTATATAATTTTGCCCCCTTTTTTCACTTAAGATTAAAAAAGGGAATATTTCCCAAAATTATTTTTTTAAGATTTATTTATTTATGCATACAAGAACTGGGGTATAAGCCAGAGATGTAGGGGGTGAGAGGATTCACCAGAGACAGAGTAGGGAACAGAACAGGCAGACTGAATGAAATACACTGCTGAGGGGAGCTTGGGCGAGACAGAAGAGGTCTGCTGCGCCATGTGGGTTGCTCCTTGGCTGGCCTGGGGATCAAAGTTGTGCCGCAGTGGCTGCAGACAGCTTCATAGGTTGCGTCTTAACACCTTGCGCCATCAGGGAGGCCTATTTCCCAAAATTATTACAAGTATTTTAACAGTATCATATAAATATATTGTGTGGCCATTATATGAAGCTTCTGCTTACCTCTTCATATTCACCTTTAAAAAAAAGTTCTTCCCCTTGGTTAGTTTTCAAAGCAACATATTGGTACCCTAGCATCCTCCAAAAGTGAATGTGGCATTTAAAAAGTTTTTAACTCCTTACTGCTGTACCATCTTTCTCTGCCCCACCTTCCTCTAGCCTCTGGCTATCCCCTCACCTACATTGCACCTGCTGCTTCGTAGGCACTTTTCTCTCAGCCATAAGCATGTTGTAGCCTACCATTCTTTAAAAAAACAAAACTGAAAAAAAACCCTCGATTTATGTTTCCTTCTAATGTTTTTAAAGCAATTACTACCTTTGTTGTCCTGCTCCTTTATCTCTAGTTGTTTACTGTGATCTCTCTTCTGCTCTGATAATTCTTTCAAACACCAACCATTATGCTAACCAGTAGTCTTCTGATTGCCAAATATTGCACCTACTCTTGAGGCCTCTTCTTATGTGCCCATTCTGCCTCATCTCATGTTCAGTTTTTAAAAAAAAATATCGATAACTCATTGCTTAACTTCAAAAATAATGTTTTAGAAAATCTACAAGCAAATAAAATCACTATTAATGATTTGATGTGAAACATTATTCTTGAAATTCTCTTATCCCTTCATTTCCATTATTCTTGAAATTCTCTCATCCCAACAATTTTCTCCTGTTGTATGTGGGTTTTTTTTTTTTCTATCTTTCTTTTCCTCAATTTACTTAGTAAACTTTTTTCCTCTATCTGCCTTTTAAATAGTGGCATTCTCCAGTGTTTTGTCCTTGGCTTTGTTTTCTTCTAACTACATCTTCTCCTTAGGTATTTTCATAGTGGGTGTTTTTTAAAAAGTTAATAACATCTGCATACATGTATACACATAAAAATGTGCTCATGGTAAATTTCAAAGCCTACAATTTCAAGCCTATAATTTTCACAATAAGTAATTCTCTTCCATTTCTTCTGCCAGAGTCAATCACTGATCTTTCTAGAGAGATTATATGTATATGCTAATACATTATTTATATACTTAAATAATTATTCTTTTAAAGTATTTAAATGCAGTATAATCTTAATTCTGATTTGCATCTTTTCCCATTTTCACATATGTGGAAAATAATTTCATATCATTATACAGAGATTTTTTTTACATCCATTTTTAGAGACTTCATAGCATTTTTTCCACTTTCATTCTTCCCCTCCCAACACAGCATTTTATTTTGAAAGAATTCAAACTCACAAGAAAGTATAAAATATAATAAAATTAGCATTCACCTATGTATCTACCTAATTTTCTTCCTTTCTATTTTTTGCTGAATCATTTGAAGGTAAAATTATAGATACCATGACAGTTTATTTCAGAATGATGTGTGTCTTAAGAACTAGGATATCTTTCTTAAACAATTGCAATACCTTTTATTATACCAAAGAGAGTAAGATCAACACAGTATCATCTAATATAAGCCATATATTCAAATTTCCACAGTTGAGAAGCAAGCACAGCTTCTTCTTTACATGTCTCTCTGCTCCACATTCCTTCTCCAGGTCTTCTTTCAAGTCCTTTTTAGCTTTCCCTTGCACTTAGCTACACCCTTCCTCAGGTGGGAGAGGGACCCAGGAACCTTCCCTTTCTATCAGGATTACACTGTTACAGTAGGACAAAAATTGTGGTGTAGTCCCTCAACAAAAGATTATATAATCAAGAAACTGTGTAGTTGAGGAATATATAGTATCTTAAGGAAGTATTTATGATACAATGTGAAGTACTTAAAAGTAGTATATAAAAGAATGATTTAATTTTTTTAAATGTACATATGTATTTGTACAGAAAAGACTGGAAAAAAAGTATGAACTAGCAGTAATTCTGCCAGAGTGATGATATTATGGACTATGTGAATTTCTTCTTTGTAACAATCTTTTCCAAATTCTCTACTATGAAAATGAGCTTTTATAACCAGAAAAAAAAATCAGAAAGTAAGGACTAAGAAAAAAAATTAAGCAGAACTAATTTAAAGTCTTAGATGGAGATGGAACTTGTATAATCAGAAAAAAAGATCAACTTAAAAAGAGGGAAAAAATAAAGGCTAACGAAAAAATAACCAAAGAGATTTTATTTAAAGTCTTAGAATTATTAAAGTATAAAGGTTCCATATTGACTTTCCCTGCCTCTGGGGTAGAACTGGCCTAAGCATCCCAGACAGATTAATGGTTCCTATTTTAAGATCATCTTGCTAAGATAAGTCACTCTCCCTCTGCCTTACAGTCATTTCTCTTGTCCAATAACAAGTAGAAAAAGATTTTTGTCTTTATATTATTTCATGAAAACATGTCATGAGAGACACTCCCATGTCTTGTGGAAAATTTCATTTTATAAATATATTTTTTTCTAAAATGAGAGCCAAATTTAATGCTCCTGCCTAGAAGATTTATATTCTACTTCATAAAAAACATTGAAAGAAGTGATTAGATATTTAAGAACATCCAAAAAAGAATAGAAAACATGGGTTGTTACATGTGTCCATTATTAGTTTCCTTTTAAAAGAAATAGTCTATGAAGATCTGTCTCTGTTTTTCCTCTGGTTGATTGTTTTCCTAGCAGTTCGTTTGGCTAACTTTTCTCATTGGGATTTAGCACACCCTAGTGGATAATAGCTTTTCAGGTTTTGTGTTTTTTTAAATGTCAAATAACTGTATTAAGCAAATCAGTAATGTGCTTACTAGATAGTAGAGTTTGTCAGTATTTATTTGAGTCTAATAGTTGCCTTAGCGCTCAGGGGTGTTGTGCATTTGTATGTGGTACTTCAGTGGAAAAGAGGCTTGCTGCATCACGTGGAAACCTTTCCCTTTGACTTTCATCTTCTCTGGGATAAAATGAGTTGATGGGAAGATCAAGGCACAGAAGAATACTGGTAGTCTTCCTCTACCTCACACTTCATGATTCTAATGATGTATTTTATATTTCCATTTTGAGAATTTTTATATCACTTTATGAAAAAAACTGATCATTTGCGCATAAACATCATACTCTGTTCCACTGCATTGTTTTTGGAAATAAGCTTCCACTAGAAACAAAATTTATTTTTCATTTTGTTTTCACAGAGCGATGGTGAGGATTTTAATTACATCATTGCATTTTTCCTTGGCACAGCAGCCTGCCTTTACCAGGTAGGTTTTCTCCCATTTTGGGACACATTTTATTTGTCTCAGTATCAATTTTAATAATTGCTTATGCACTTTAAACAAATGAAAATGACATCTGGTATCTTTGTCTCTCTAGTTTTTTTCTTTGCCTCTCATTTTGCTCCTCTGTTAGCTTGAGATTGGTATCTCCATTTCTAGTGGACTTAATATTAACCTTCTCCTGTGCCAGCCTTCAACAGTAATGTCATCTGCCTGTAGCAGTAAAGGCTACTTCTAATTTTCTGGTGACTGTTTTTTCAGCTCCCAGGCTTTGCTAATGTTTCATGCTGAGGATTTTGTGCTTTGGGGAAAGTCTTTGAATAGTGAACTACAAAAGCAAAGTCATAGGATATTTAATTTATCAGCAATGAATAGGATGGATAGTCAGAGTGGAGACCACAAAGAAATTATTTGGAAAGTTATTCTGTTACTTCAGGCAGAAAGTTACAGAACCTGATAATGGTAATGGTGATGGGGGGAAAAGGAATGTTGACAAATAAGAGTAGGACTTGAAGGCAGAACACATATGAAATTTAAGGAGGGCAGCAGTCCTTCTGCCCTCCTGTGCCTACGTAGGTGCTTCTTTTTTTTTTTTTTTTTTTGTTGTGGGACCCTCTCCAGGGGCTGGGGAACGAACCGGCACTGCAGAGGCTGCGGGCAGCCTTGCAGCCCAGCACTGAACCGCTGCGCCACCAGGGGAAGCCCCTGTAGGTGCTTCTTTTTACCAAACTTTTCCTCTTGTAGAGCAGGAGCAGCAGCCTCTGCCCACCTGTGACAATGCTGGTGCCTTTCTTCACTGACCTTTTCCCTTTGCAAAGCAGCAGAGGTAGCTCTCCTACCAAGGCTGCCCTCCTGCATTATATATCCTCTCTTTAGCAGTCTGTCCTTTCAGGGCAGATCTTTCTGTCCGTTTGTGCCTGTGCAAGTATTCTTTTCCCTTCCTTCCCTTTTATAATAAACTTGCCCTTTCGTTTTTTTGGGTTTGTTTTTTTTTTTTTTTAAGATTTATTTATTTATTTATACAAGCACTGAGTACAGTCAGAAGTGCGGGAGGGTGAGAGAATTCACCAGAGCCAGAGGAGAGAGCAGAACAGGCAGACTGACCAAGTGCACTGCTGAGGGGAGCAGCAGGGCGGCAGGAGAGGTCTGCGCGCCATGTGGGACCCTCGCCCTGTGGCCTGGAATCAAACCAATGCTGCAGAGGCTGTGGGCAGCTTCGCAACCCAGTGCTCAACATCTGCACCACCGGGGCGGCCCCAATCTGCCCTTTTGGATATTAAAAAAAAAGAATGAAAGAAATTTGAGAGGGAGAAGGCTTTGCATCTGAGTAAGTTGGACATAGGCACTTGAATGTCTAAGAAGAGAAGAAATCTGTAGGGAATAAAGGGTGACTGTGCCATTTACTAAAACTCAAAATGTCTTTGCTACAATGTTAAAGTGAGCAAGACCTTTTGTTCAAACTTTTATAAGTGACACTTTCTCTGACTTGCATAAAATAACTGTTAAACTTAGGACTGCAAATTAAACCCACCTATAACTTAGTAAAAATCTTTAGGGAAATATTTAAGATACATATATTTGACTTTTATGTTAAGATAAAATAGAAAATTAGTTTATAACTACTTTTTTTAAATCTAATTTTTCTTAATCATATTATTTTAGAATTTCTCTTGTCAAATTTGACAGATTTAATTATAATGAATGACATTTCATGTGGGAGCTGTGGAAATTTATATTTGTTATAAGTGCTTAAATTTTATGAAGTATTTGTATATTGTCAACTTTATAATTCTGTCACATGGGATATTACCTCTTTTATTTTTTATGTATTTTTAACTGGGGTAATATAGGGTAATACTTCCATCAGGTATTACCACCAATGTGCACCCAACACCAAGTTACCCATATTCCACCACCATTGACCATTATGCTGCCTTCTCTCTTTGTTTTTCCCCTCCCCTGCACCTGCTGTCCTCTTGGTGTTTCAGTTCTATAGTAAGCTCTCAAGGGTTAGTTTTTCAGCTTATCTTTATCTATTAATTTAGTTACTTTATATTCCATATATTAGTGACACCATCTGGTATTTATCTTTCTCCTTCTGAGTTATTTCACTTAGCATTATCCTTTGTTGCTCTATCCATGTTACTGCAAATGGCATGCGTTTATCTTTTTTTGATTGCTGAGTAGTATCTCATTTTTAAAAAAGAGAAATCTAAGGTAGTTCCAGTACTATCCTGAGATTATAGCCAGTAAGTCATAGAGTCAAGACTTAATTCTGAATCTTAATAATTTTAAATATCATGTTCTTTTCACTATAGCATGATGTCTTAAGGAAAATTCTGTATTTCTATAATTTTAATAATGCTGTAAAGTTATACTTTTATAACTATCATATGCATTATCTTGTGATTCTGAAAGAATGTGAGGTGTTAACTTTAAATTTATTTCATTAGTAATTATTCTTGTAAAATATACATAGGGCTTTTTTGCTTTGATGAAATAATTTTAAATATTAATAATAGCAAAATGTGTTGACCTTTTACATTGTGTTATATTCCTGGTGCCATTAAATTCCTTACAGCAAGTCCCACACTAATTCCATTATCACTCCTTCATACTCTCTCTCTCTTTCTCTTTCTTTTTTTTTTTTTTTTTGTAGAGGCCTGGGCAGTTCTTGTAGCCAGTCAGTGATTTAAAACCAGGTCTGTGTTCCTGGCTGTAGATAGGCACACCTCTGTTATATTTCCCAGAACACCTCACTGTAGTTCTAGGAGTTGCCTCCTGGTGGAGCAGTATCACTGAAGTATTCTTTTATTAAGATAAGTAAACAAATTCATGCTTTAAAAAAGAAAAGCAAGGCATGAAACTGCATACTTTCCAGACACAGTGAGTAGAGTGATAATGTTGCCTTTTTTACAGTAAAACATAAGTGATTACGTTTTACCATATAATAATCTCTGTTTCCAGTTGTCAGGATTTTTTTTTTTCTTTCCAAATTAGTTTATTGAGTGTCAGGATGTTTTTTAATCCCCTTTAGATCAGAGCTTTACATGGTTTGTTGCCTTTTTTTTTTTTTTTTTTTTTCAGATTGTGTATTTATGAACACATAGAGCTCAGCCAGATAGGAGTAATGTTGATATGAAACATTTCAAATAGTCAAAGGATTGCTGAAGAAACTAGAAGCTATTTCTTTTCTGTAGAAAATTTGGTCAGTTGAACTTCATAAGAATTCAATACTTTTGCACTGGGGAAAAAAACTTGTTGAGGATGAGAGACAAACCAAGACTGGAAAAGATATTTGCAGACTACAGTCATGCATCACATAATGAGATTTTGGTCAACAATGGATTGCATGTATGACACTGTTCCCCATAGGTGTACAGTATACTATCCCATCTAGATTTGTGAAAGTACGCTCTATGACATTCACACAATGAAAAAATTACCCAAGGATACATTTCGCAGGACACACTGTTAGGAGACACAAGAATGCAACATGAAGAACCCTCAAAACTTTACAATATAAGACAAATAACCCTTTAGAAAATAGGCAAAAGACATAAACAGACATTTCATACAAGCATATTTATAGATGATAAATTAGCACATGAAATGATATTCAATATTAGCCACAAGGGAAATGCAAACTAAAATGACAGTGAGGGAATCACTACACACAATGGCTAACATAAAAAAATAGCGACAATGCCATATGCTGTGAAGGATGCAGAGAAACTGGTTCACTGACACTACTGGAAGTAAAAAATAGTACACTCGTCTGGAAAATAGTTTGTCTCTTAATAAGATTGCAACTACAGTATGACCTAGCAATTGGACTTCTGGACATTTATCTCAGAGAAATGAAGAAACTTGTAATGACACAAAAACCTATACATGAATGTTTATAGCAGTTGTATAATAGTTAAAAACCTGGAAACTCAGATGTTCTTCTACTAGGTAAATGATTAATAAACTGTGGTATATCCATACCATAGAATATTATTCAGTAACAAATAAGACATTGTTACATGCAACAACTTGGATAATCTCCAGAGAATTATGCTGAGTAAAAAAATGATAATCACAAGAGGTTGTATATTACTATATGCTTCCATTAATATAATGTACTCAAAATAAGAAAATTTTATTAATGAAGAACATAATTTGTGGTTGCCAAAGATTAAAGAAGGGTTGGGACAGGAGGAAAATGGGTAAATGGGCAGCATGAAGGGTGTCTTTGTGATGACAGGTGTCTTTTTTATGACAGTGTTATAAATTTCTTTCTTAGCAATTTATTAGCTTAATTCCATAAATTTTGATATGTCATCTTTTCTTTTTCATTTAATTCAGTATTTTTCCCCCCTCTGGCTCCCTCTTTGACTTTGGGTTATTTCAAATTGTGTTTTTTAATTTCCAGGTATTTAGAGATTTTTTGCTTTTCATTATTGATTTCTAGTTTGATTCCATTTTGGTTAGAGAACATATTTTGTACGGCTTCAGTTCCTTCATATTTGTTGATATTTGTTCTGTGATCCTAAATATTGTGTGTCTGGTATATGTTACTTGGCATTTGAACAGAATGTGTATTTGCAATAAACATAGCAGTGCAGTCCTTTCAAATTAGTATTTTTGTGTCCTTTGGATAGATTGCTAGGAGTGGAATAACTGGGTCATACAAAAGATCCATTTTTAGTGTTTTGAGGAACCTCCACACTGCTTTCCATAGTGATTAGACCAGTTTTCATTCCCACCAGCAGTCTTACAGAGTGACTTACACAAAGATGTTTCTTTCAGCCTTTTTTTTTTGCACAGTACAAATCCCTCAGATTAAATAAATGCTTCCACCTTATTTTGCTTGATAGCAGTCTTTTCAAGTAAGTGCAGTCCTAATTTGTATAAGAACTAAAGAGATTTAATTCAACATTTCCACATTACTTCTGTATTATTGTAAACACCCTAATGTCTTTCCTGTTTTGAAGTCTGGATACAATTTCACATTGAGACCTGTGCTTTTTTTAAGACTTTGTGATTAAATGTGAATTTTAGACTTAACAGATTGTAAATTTTAGATATCATCTAGATAATAGTTCATTTATTTAAAATTTTTTTATTGAGCTTTTACTATTCTGGGCACTGAGGGTTAATAAGTTAACAATGAAAAATCTTTCCCCTCCTGAAGCTTACATTGTTTTGGAAGAATATAGATGACAAACAAAATAAGCATATTTTTAAAGTACATTTAAAATATGTTATGGCAGGGCCTCCCCGGTGGCGCAGCGGTTGAGCGCTGGGTTGTGAAGCTGCCCGCGGCCTCTGCGGCGCCTGTTCGATCCCGGGCTGCTCCCTGGCCACTGGAGGAGGGTCCCACATGGCGCGCAGACCTCTCCTGCAGCCCGCTGCACCCCTCAGCAGTGTACTTCCGTTCTTCTGCCTGCTCTGCTCCCTGCTCTGGCTCTGGTGAATTCTCTCACCCTCCCGTGTTCTGACTGTACCCAGTGCATGTATAAACAAAAAACAAACAAACAAATAAATAAATAAAACAAAAACATGCGTCTATAAAAAAAAATAAAATAAAATATGTTATGGCAGAATTAAAGCAGGAAAGGGTTAGTGCCAGCATTTGGGGGTAGGGAAGTATTTTCCTCACTCGCTTATAAAATAGCACTCTGTCCATTTTTCCTGTTTCATCTTTTTAAAGTCATAACTGCTTGATATTATTTATAAAGTGTTTATCATCTTTTTCTCTGCACTAGAATATAAATGAACAAGTACTTTATTTTTATTTTATTTTTTTAATAGAATTTTTCTTTTTTTTTTTTTTTAAAGATTTATTTATTTATTTATACAAGCACTGGGTATAGTCAGAAGTGCAGGAGGGTGAGAGAATTCCCCAGAGTCATAGGGGAGAGCAGAGCAGGCAGACTGACGAAGTACTCTGCTGAGGCGAGCAGTGGGTGGCAGAAAGGTCTGCGCGCCATGTGGGACCCTCACCTGGTGGCCAGGGATTGAACTGGCGCTGCAGAGGCTGCAGGCAGCTTTGCAACCCAGCGTTCAACCGCTGCGCCACCAGGGGAGGCCCAAGTACTTTATTTTAAGCTAAAGAACAGTACCTGTGTTGTGGCAGGCCCTCAATAAATGCTTATTAAATGAATTCTCCCTCAAATGTTGACTCACATCTAGCACTCAATGTGGGATGACTAGATATTGTTGATATCATTAATATCCATATCAGGTTATATAAGTCCATCTTGCTAAGTAGCTTGTGTGAGCTTTTTTTTTACTTTTCTGGGCTGAGAATAAGAGATGGAACTCCAAAATACCCTGAGAATGGTTCTTGGTTGCCTGTCACCTTGAGGAATTTGTCCAGCATGTTTGTATCACTTGTACCTCCATTTTAAATACAATACAAAATGCTTTTCCTTCTGAAAAATGAAAAACATGAAAAGGAAAAATCTATTTCCCTTTCAGGCTGTGGAAATTTCATAGTTGAGTTTCTTTATCTTATCTGTAGATGAAAAATCCCCTTATTCCACACTCATGTTTTACTCTGTGTCCTATTACAGTTTTATAGTAGAAGCATCTGTTTTTTTCCTATAACCCTAATCATTTTTCCTTTTTATATTTTGAACAGTGTTATTTACTTGTCTACTACACCAACTGGCGGAATGTCAAATCTTTTTTGACTCTTGGTTTAATCTGTCTGTGCAACATGTATCTCTATGAACTACGCAACCTCTGGCAGCTTTTCTTTCACGTGACTGTGGCAGCATTTGTCACACTACAGATCTGGCTAAGGCAAGCCCAGGGCAAGGCTCCTGATTATGATGTCTGACACCATTCTTCAGATATAATGTCTTGGCTTCAGGGGGTAAAGGAGAGAGCATATCTTAACTGCCACTGTGATGAAGAAACTCACCACAACTGAGAAGCTCTGCTTTCTTTCTCTCCACTCTCCTTTTTGTTTTAAGTCATCAGCATGGCATGCCTGTGAGCATGCAATATCTGCTAGGCAAACTCCTCTCAGAAGAATATTGGCCGTGGGATTATTATTCAAAGGAGGAAGAGAAGACTTTTCTCTACAGGGCCATAACAGTGGAAGAAGTCAGACACCTTTGGAAGACTTATCAGCAGTTCTGAATCCTTGCTGAAGAGTTCTATCAAAATATACATGGAAAAACTTACTCTAAGGACCAAGCAGGAGCTCTACAACCTGGGATTGTCTTTGTGAGGCATTAGAATAGACCAAATAAAAAGATGTGACAGTAAATTGCATAGTTTATATTTAAAACAGATCACTTGCCAAATATTGGGTTATTTGCACCTGGTTCTGTGAATTTATAAAGTCCAGGATAGTGTAGAATTGCTTCTTTTTTCCCCTTAATATTTTTGCGTGAATCTTAACTCTGGAAATCACCTGATAATAGAAGTCTGTAGACTTCTATTCACCTCTGAAATACCGCAAGTATTAAAAAGACAGTGACATTTCTAGACCCCATTAGTCATTGTTTTGAAACCACATCTTAAAAATATGATTCGTTAGACTGTACCCCTTGTTTCCCAAACTTCAATCACTTGAATACTATATATACTACTATTTATATAACATTTATCCTTTAAAATTTAAAATATTTTTAAAAGAAACTAGTCTCTATTCCAAGTGGAAAACCAGTATCAGTGTACTGTAAATAAAAGGTAACTACAAAATAAATAAAATTAAAACTAGTATTATTATTACATATCATTAACAGCAAGATACTATGCCTGCCAAGAATCCAGGACTTCTGCTCACTCTTTGTGTATTGAGAGAGATGTTGCCCATCACCAAAAGGGGGCGCTCTCTGTGGAATTAACAGAAAATTGTAAGGAAATGACATTCACACTGTGATTCAGCATTATTTAATTTTGTGTTGTGTGTCACCTAAAGTCATCTTATGTGCCATCACTGGTTCAGGCTCTGAAGGTGACTTCTAGCAATTCATTATTTAATGACTTTGAGGAGTTAAGCACCTAGTATCCTAGAGAAGTTCTTGCTGATTGATAGCATTATAAAGATTGTTAAGCAGATATGAATTTTAATAATATAGGAAGCACAGTTTAATTCCAATAGCAAACTCTAGAATGCTCCTGGTTTTGGAAGTTATCTTCATGAGTGGTTTTATTTTGTTTTTTTTTTTTTAAAGAAAATATTCCAAATAAGGAATTCATAAGCTATTGAAATTTGAAATCCAGGAAAACAGTGGACCCATTACATATAATTCATGTTAGTGGACATATTTATTAAGTAGAAGAAATAGAGGAGTAAAGTCATTGAACTACTTTGTTTACCTGAATCAATATGTCTGTATGTCTACAACTATAAAATCTTACTTAACTAGAACCTTTTTGCTGTGCGCGCCTCTTAAAAGAACGAAGCAAAAGGAAAACACAATAAGTTTATGACATCAGGGATTTATTTAAAATAAGAAACTTAAATCACTCCAATTTTTTATCTATAATAAAACTGTGCAGAAATTGTGTATATTCTGGTTTCACATGCTCCTAAGTCATCAAACTAAAATTTTTATGTTTGACATTTTGTACTTACTGAGCAAGACAGTAAAGTAGTTCAATTTAGAACAGTTTTTCAAAACTAATGGTTAAAAGTAAAAGAATTTTCTTGTAAGTAGTTAACCAGGTAGTTGGAGCATCTGGTTAATTGTGATTTTGTTATGTATTGATATTTTATAGCTCCCCTAGTAGTTTGGATCTCCTTATCATTGAATTATTGAGTTATAATGTTTAATATTTTGACCTGTTCAGCAAGGACACTTGAAAATTCACCAGCTATCTTTAAAGGCTTAATTTTTTGTTTTTGTTTTTGCTTTGTTTTTTCACAAACTATTTTGTGGATAAGTGGATGTTTACATTTTAATGTAAAAAATGAAAATAGGTATAAATAATATTTTATGTATAAAAATGCTTTCTTTCATTATTTGGTGCTTGTATCATGACTATATAACTTCTGATCTTCTATAATATTGTTGCCAAAGAAATGCCAAATTTGGAACAAGAATTTTTTGTCATGAGTAGAAAGAAGTCCTTAAGTTCTTGAAGACTCACTTGGACCTCTGATATACCTGATAGTAAAATCTTGCACTTTTACTTTTATAAAAGGGCAAGTGTGCATGACCTAATGAGTTTTATGATGGAAGAGAAGCAGCAGTTGCAAACTTATGATGGAGGAAACTAAGTTAATCAGATGTTAATCATTTACATAGGGTCACAGAACTAAGCGCACAAACTTTTAAACTCTAAGGTGGGCTCTTTGCATTAGAGTAGAAACTAATGGAGATAACTAAGATTATAGTGAGGGAATCTGTCTGTTTTTGGTAAAATCAAGGAAAGTCAACTTCTCATAATGAGCACAGGCCAGCTATTTTCAAATCTTGGTGTATATTATCTGGAGGTGGTTCTGAAATACAGTCCCTGATTTGCCATGGTTTGAGTTACAGTTTTTTGGCCTTATGGTAGTGGAAAACAATACATTCAATAGTGAGTGGACTTCAGTGTTTTTTTGGTAAGTGTCAGTTGTAATACTCCATCACAGTTATACAGAAGAAGTTTAATATTTTCTTTGAGTTTATAATTGTTCGCTGTTAAAGCAATACTGTGGTGAACCTTTTATGGATGTAATTAAAAAAATACTTTGGGAGTAAGATTAAGGTTTGAATGAGGTTTTTCCTAGGATATATTCACCTTTTTCTTTTTTATTAAATAAACAAAAACATTAAAAAAGAAATCTACCATCCACAAGAGACCCTCTCCACACTTGTTCCCTTTTCGTTCCCATCTCAAAACCTCAATTCTGTTGTAAATGAGCAATGATTTTTATTTTGTTTTATTCACTTTATTTCCTTGTCTTCCACATACAGGTGAGATCATTGAATTTTGAATTGTTATCTTTAGGGATAGTGGTACCAGACTCTTCTTATGATGTGGGAAGCAGCAGGGAGCCTCAGCTGTGAGTCAGCCATTCCATCTCCTCAAGGGTAAATAACTGCTACTCAACACACTGTTTTCACTTTCAGCACAGTATACAATAGTTACATGGACTGCTTAACACTTTGTTATAAAATAGGTTTTGTGTTAGATGATTTTGCCCACCTGTAGGTGAGTGTAAGTATTCTAAGCACATTTGAGAGAGGTTGGACTATGCTATGGTGTTCAGTAGGTTAGGTTTATTAAATGCATTTTTGACTTAGGATAGTTTCAACTTGAGAAGAGTTTATTGGGACATACTACCATTATAAGGTGGGGGAGATATGACTGCATTTTGATTAATGTTTGCTGTGATCACGCAAAGATATACTCTTTACTTTCAATATTTGCTAGATTTTTTTTTTGGTCTGTATTTGAAATGCATTTATACCTGGCCTTTTTCCAAAAGGATTTGAAACAGCATTCCAAGAAAAGGCAAATGCAATAATGTTACCAAAAATATGAACAGGAAGGAGAGAAAGGCAGGATCAAAGAAAGCTGAAGGAAGTGTTAACACACTGCTTGTTGTTGAGTATAAAATTTGACTTTTGAGCTTCCCAGAAGTTAAGGATAGAAGAAGTGAAACAAGTTTCACATTGCTTTTTCACTAAATTAAACCAATTACCTAGAAGAGACTTCTTCCTGATGAATTCTGGTTGAAAATGTATACTTGAAGTCCTGTGAAATGCCACAGTGAACAAAATCAAAATTGTTTTGCACACATATATTGTATTTGTGCCTTGGATCCTCAATATAGGCTTTCATTTTGGGACTTTTTTTTATGGTTAATAGAGAATTTTCCCCCTAGGTAATAACAGGTATCTGTTTTAAAGCTTGAAAATCCATTTGAGACCAGTGCCTGGATATGTGGGAGAACCTTTACTAGATTTTCTAATTTCATAATTTATATAAAGTGAATGTGCTATTCCATGGGTAGCACATTGTTGTTTATTAAATGTGGTCATTTTCACAGTGGAATCAATTTGGAGAAACATTGTTCCATTCCTGTTAGGCTACATCTGGAATCTCAGAGTCCTGATTTGTCCAGGCTCTACAGAGGCCAGATTTGTATTATGAGAGTCCATGTCAAAGATGTGCTTCTACCTAAGGTTAGCTACCCTCTCCCTAAAAAAGATAATTGCTTAGCCTATATTTCAAAAAGTTTACTAAGTAGCTGTAAATTAGATTAGCTGTTAGATTTCCAAGAGATTCAAGAAAGTGTGGTTGGGCCTTTTCTTATTTTAACAGACTTTTTGTTCACTTTAAAAGTTAGCTATCACGGAGCATGTGGTAAAAGAACAAATTATTTCTAAAATAGCTACTACTCAGACCAAATTGAACACTTACCCTTACCTCAAATTATATGTCAAGAATTCCATTCTTTGTCTTTTGTCAATACACTGCTCCTTGTATCTTTTCTACTTTATTATCTCCTGGAGATAAGGGTTTTAGGCAGAAAAGGGTTCTTTCTGCCCCAAAATGATGATTTTAGGTTTTCATTGTTTTTAGTAACATCCTAGTGAAAGGTTAATGAAAGAACCCTTTACTGCTAAGGGTCATGAATGAATTTGTGTATAAGGCAATGTTAGCTGAGAATTTAATCTTCTACTATTTTTTTAAAAGATTTATTTATGCATACAAGAATTGGGGTATAGGCCAGAGGTGTGGCGGGTGAGAGGATTCACCAGAGACAGAGTGGGAAACAGAATAGGCGGATTGACTGAAATACACTGCTGAGGGGAACAGTGGTTGAGTCAGGAGAGGTTTGCTGTGCCATGTGGATAGCTCCCTGGCCAGCCGGGGATGGAACTCATGCTGCAGTGGCTGTGGATCTCTTCATAGTTTGCGTCTTAACCCCTTGCACCACCAGGGAGGCCCTAATCTTCTGGTATGTACTCATTAGGATTAGAGATGTCTGATCATCTTCAACAGTGCTCTGGGGCTGCTACTGTTACTTCTGCATTGGCAGTGCCTGTATATATTAGATAGTCTCAGCACAATTGGAGGTTGTAGAAAACTCAAGGACAGAAGTTTAGTTCTCAGCAAGATTCGGAAACCAGTACTGTGGTTTCGCAAGTTGTTCTTGATGTTTCCTTGGCAACAAACAGAATTTTCAGCTTGACCTCACCCACGGTTCACATTTGCCCTTTTCTGCTACATCCCACAGCAGAGCAGTGCAAGCATCACCCAGCAGAAAGCATATTCAGGCTCCTCTGACAGTAGGAAACAGGGCTCATACATTTCTCACTTGCTTCTGGCAGTCCCTCCCCACCTCTGTCTTGGTCGCTGG